GGAATTGGGATCAGTGTTTTACTACTAGCTCTGAAGGATGTGATTGGCTATGTGTTTACCAGTGACAAAGATATTATTTCCCTTGTGAGCCACGTGATTCAATTTTATGCTCCATTTTTTCTGTTTGATGCACTCTCAGGCCTTGGTAGTGGAGTCCTGAGAGGTACCGGAGACAAAAAGATGGGCACCATCTTCAACGCCATTGGTTATTATGTGATTGGTTTTCCCATTGTACTGTCTCTGATGTTTGCAGCTAACTTTGGCATAGAAGGTTTTTGGATTGGAATTATGACCTGTATCTTTTTAAAATGTCTCTTCTACTTGGTGTTCACCTACAAGATAAACTGGAATCGAGCTGCAGAGCAGGCACAGGTTAGAGCTGGGCTAAAAGGAACTGCAGAGACCATGTCTAACTCAATAGACCCCCCCAATCAGGAAATAGAAAAGACCAATGGAGTGATTTTACATGGTAGCATCAGGCCAGCTGACCAGGGTATTCCACTGATGGAGATGGAAGGAAACGGCCAGCGTCGATTGCCCGCCACTGGAGAGGTTTTGACAGTGAGACAGCTGATTATCTATCGAGGAATAGCATTAGCTGTTGCCGTTGCTGTTCTTTTAGCAGGAATTTTAATAAGAAATTTCATATGACTAGGGCTAAAATAGAAATATTGCTACCCGTGCACAAACTACAAACATATTGTAATATTAAGGCAGCTTCTCCCTGTACATTAACTGTATCATGCTTTTCAAATCTGTAAATATGGTTTTCCCTGTTGTAAGCGTTGTTTACTCTTTTTTATCTTGATGCTTTTCTTCATGGAAAGCAGATCAATGTCTAATAAGGTTAAACGTCCATCTAGTTTTCTTTGTAGTTCTTTTAAATATTTAATCTTGCCAGTGAGTGTATATTAAATGTCTGTTCAATTCCTATCTCAGGTGTTGTCATATAAGCTTTTATAAAATAAACACCTCACCATTTAAAAAAATGTGATGTATATATACATTGTGACTTACTACTCAATTATAAGAAAAGATGACGCTGTTTGCTATGGCATGGATGGGGCTGGGGGAGACTATGATAAGTGTAACCAGTCATAAGAAAAATGACAATTTTTGCACAATTTCATTCATGTGGAAAATGGGGGAGAAGAAACTGACAAAACTAGACCAGGCAAACTGTCAAAATACAACTGTTAGAAGGGGAAGGAGGACTGGTGACACAAACTATGCAACCTCTATCCACTGACATATTCCGGATGGAGATGGAAATGCTCCGAAAAATCAGACTTTCCACGCTAACTTATGTTACGACCTTCCTTTTTTGCATAATCGTAATATCAAAATATTCTGAGCAATCTTCAGCTTACAATTGGTATGCCTCAGCCTTAGAAGGCGCTACCTGGCCCTGACAAGCAAGTACTGCACAGGGTGAGAAATTCCTCTTGAAGTCAAAAGTGATTTGACAACTGGCTGATTAATAAAAACAAATGGCTGTTAATGCAAAGTCTCTCTCACTGCCAGGATGAGGAAAACCCAAATCTTATCACTCCAGCTCACCTAGCCTTCTATTGAGTTTCTAAAGAACCACTCAAACTTCCTACTTTCTAGTCCTTAGATATGGAAATTCACCCAAGTCACCTTTGCAGAGCTAATCAGGTTTTCTACCATCTAGACTAAAAGAAAACTAACTTAAACTTTCTAACAAGTTTTTCAAAGAACCTTACATGTGATTTACAAGAAATTTCCTCATCCTGCCCTCCCTTTAGTTTACCCCCTAGGATGTCAATATGAGAATGAAAGCCTTTAAGTAATAGATATTATTTCAGGGACTTTATTTTGGTTAATCTTCACTGTGGTAAATTAGTCGTAAACTTTGTAAATCTATGCACCTGTTTTAACCTTGACAGATTGATTTTAAAACTGGTATAATCTCAACTAAAGGTTAAAACGACCCCAGACTAGTCTTAGAAAAAAGGTGATTGTGATCTCAGCTCATTTCATATGCTAATGTCATCCCTCTGCCTGCTTGAAGTGTATAAAATAAACCTCTGCTGAAGGCAGAGAAGAAAGACTTGCACCCAACTCCCATTCCTGTGTCTTCCTCGTGCCTGCTCCCCTTTTTTCCCCTTTTAATAGGAACCTCCACTCACTGACGCCGTTCCTACCTTGAGACCCTGCCTGTTCTGCCCCCCAATAATCCGTGATCGGGGACAAAGAGTCTCCGACAGACTGGGGTGGGAACAAGGAGAAAGAAGAGACCCAGAGGTTTCAGATAAGGACTGTGGGTGCTTTGGTGATAGGAGTGGCATGGTGGCATCTATCTGAGGAGGTGTTCAACTGTTCCCCTAAATCACGTGCTGTGCTGTAAACCAATGTCGCATAAATAAAGGAAAATGAAAACAGAAAGGTGACACAATAATAAAATAAAGAATTTTTAAAAATCACACACTTTCCTGATATCATTCAGTGAATTATCTATCTCTAATGGGCTCATACTGCTTTGGTAAAGAGGACTTCATTAATCATGAATTGTTCCAATCAGTGAATTACTCACGAATAAGATGGATAAGACAGGCTGACCCTGCTCAGGAAGTTCTCAGTGCAGGACCCAGGCAGGTTGAGGTGACACAGCAAAGAGCAGTGGCAGGATGTGGGGGTGCAAGAGCCCAGGAGCACAGAGGAGGCTCTCAGAGGAGGGGGTGCTGGAGCTGAGCAGAGAATCGTCACAGAAACAAGTGGGGAGAGGGAGCAGATACCCAAAGGTCTCAGATGGAAAGTGTGACGAGTTTGGAAGACTAAAAGTAGTTGATTGTGGCTAGGTTATGCAGTGCGTACAGGGAGATGTGGCAATGAGGCTGGAGGTAACGTCCAGATCATAAGGGAGCTTGGGTTTAACGTGTGATGACTGATCAAGGGAGTGATGTGGTCAGAGTGCAGAAAAATATCTTTAGTAGAGCTATAGAGATTGTAGGGGCAGAGGCCGAGGGCAGGGAGACCATGAGACAGGAGAGAGCAAGCAAAGGCCTGAACTAAGACACCGGTGTTGCAGGAGGACCTGGAGAAGTGGACACAGACCCAGCCAGATCAATAGGATGTAGGGGAGAAGAGAAAGGGAACAATGTAGAGCGAGTCTAGTTTGCTGGTGGTAATAGGCTGCATCATTACAAAGACAAAGTACAGTGTAGAGAGTAGATACGATAGTGGATTTGAGATGAGGTTGTGTTGGAAGCTGAGATGCTTGTCATACCTAGTGTCAGATATTTAGTTCATTATTGAAAACCCATGTCTGGACTAAGAAGAAAGTTTGTGGTAAAATGTATGAGTAGATATTGGTGTCATCAGCACTAGATTGCGCATTGAAATTATAGGTGTGCACGAATTAATCACCCAGGAAGGGGAAGAGAAGAAAAATCGGAGTGGACTTCTGGGAACGCAAAAAAGAGTCGTAGGGAATACTGGGAATTAATGCAGGGTTGCAGTTCTAAAAGAGAATGGATCAATAGATACTTGCTGAAAATGGTTTCAAAAATAAGGCAAAAGTTTAAAAAACTAGTGGGCAGTGTTCAAACTGAAACAGAAAATGAACTCTATCGTGGTTGATCGCCAGAAGCTTGTGATGTTCTTAGCAAGAGAAGTTTCAGTGAGTTGCAGAGGGCAGACAAGCAGTCGGTGGCAATGAGTGGGAGCAGAAGAGGTGGAAGATACGGACATGAGAACCTCAGTCACTGGGGTACACCTCTGGGAGGCAGGGAAGGGAAGGAGGTGAAGGAGGATCCTCCTGGTGGTGCAAGGGGTTAAGTCTCAGGACTCTGAAGCTATGTGCAGCTTCTGGGGCACAAATTTGATTTCAGACTAGGGAGCTGACCCACATGGCCCAGCAGACCTCCCTTGACTGTCCTGCTGCTCCCTTCAGCAGCGTATTTCAGTCTATGTGCCTGTTGAGCTCCTCA